AAAAGAAGAAGAAGAAATCATAATGGAAACTAGAAAACACAACCTATAATAACTAAGATGTAACGTTCAAACCTACTCCTAAGGGGTCCCCCAGTACCGGCAAGTTTTCCATGAGAAGAAAACTGATTGCCTTAAAGCTCACTGGAAAATGAAGGAAAAACGAGACCCTGATAGCAGGGCTGCTGGATGTCCAACTCAGGAGCTGGAAACTAAGTGGCAGAATAAGCTTAAATAAAGTAGGAACAGCAAAATCATAAAAATCAGAGAGTAAAGTCACCAAATAGAGGAACTGAGAGGAAAAGAAGCCAAAGGGCAATGGCAGGAGGAAGAAAGCAGCCTTCCACATGGAGGGCCAGAGTCCATGTCCAGAGCACAGGTGGCGGTCAACCCACTGGATCTGTCGTAGCTGCAGACTGCTGCATGGGGAGCAGCCACACTAATATCCCTGTCCCTCATCAAAGGGATGCCAGAGAGAGTGAGGACAAAGAGCTTTGTCTTCCCCACAGCCTTGGCTGCAGGGCTGGGTTGGTGGAGGCAGGAAAGTCCCAGGTTCTCAGCACCCTTCTCACCTTGGCCTTCCTCATCCTGTCCCATGCACTCCTCTCCTCTCACTTTCTCTCTGGCCTGAGGTCCTGGTTTAAGACTGACAAACAGGCTCCCAACAGGGACAGCCATGCTGTCAGATTCCTAGGGAAGGCAGAAGGGGCAGACAGGGGTTCTGTACTCTGGGAACCTCCAACTCAAGGATGTAGGGCTCCACCAAGGGCCAGAGCCTCCCCAGATGACATTTTCATAGACCTTGAATGCACACATTTGTAAGAAGCCTAGAGCCTAAAGCCCTGTAATGACATAGATACTTAAAGTTTATTGTCTTTAAAAGCCAGACTTTCTGTTTACTTTGTTTTATTCTACAAAAAAAGTTTCCAAGAACACCACAAACAACCAAGACAAGAGGAAATGCAACTTTAATCCTTGACCTGAAAAAGACATGTGAGCATCTCAAACTCAGCAACTGTCCAGTATCAAAACGGTCATTGACAAAGCCTCAGAATGACATTTAAAGAGCGATGCCTAAGGACTCACTCTTCTTTCCAACCAGAATCTTTAATCGCAATTGAAACTGGAAATGACAACATAGCTAGTGAGACTGCTCATTCCTCTGAGAGTGGCCTATCAGAAACTGGCCATTTCACTATCTGGAATCTGCTGTAGTTTTATTATAAAGCTGTCCCTTTCAGAACAACATCATAGGACAGTTGCCAGGGAGGCCTTACCACAACCTTTCTGCACACCTGAGACCACCGGAAAGACTCCAAGGCAACTCTTCCCAGCAGTGTCCATAGCAAGGTTTCACTGTGACTGCAGCATTCTGGGGGCTTAGGCAGCAGGGAATGACCCATTTAAAATATCCTAGATTCAAAATCCCTAGAGCAGGGCAGCACCTGTGGCTCAAAAGGGTAGGGCGCCAGCCCCATATGCTGGAGGTGACAGGTTCAAACCCAGCCTCGGCCAAAATAAATAAATAAATAACTATGGCATTTAAAAAAAAAAATCCCTAGAGCAGTGGTTCTCAACCTTCCTAATGCCGCAGTCCTTTAATGCAGTTCCGGTGGGTTGTGACCCACAGGTTGAGAACTGCTGCCCTAGAGGGTAGGAATCATGTTTATTCAACTCACTTTAATAATATCTTCCATATCAGGTGTGGTGGCTCACGCCTATAATCCCAGCACTCTGGGAGGCTGGGGCAGGAGGACTGCTTAAGGTCAGGGTTTGAGATCAAACTGGGCAACACACGGAGACCTCTTCTCTAAAAAAATTAAAAAATTAGCCAGGTGAAGTGATGCAGTCCTAGCTACTTGGGAAGCTGAGGCAGGAGGATCACTTGAGCCCTGGAGTTTGAGGCTGCTGTGAGCTATGACGACACCACTGCACTCCAGCTTAGGACTACAGTGAGATTACATCTCTGAAACAAAACAAAACAGAATCCCCTACAAAGTTTGTATTTAGAGTGAGTTTCAAGGTAAAATTTTTACTGACCAGCTGGGCAAAACTCAAGATCCTTTAAGGACTCTGATCACTTAGAGTGATCATCGCAGCAGTTTCTCTCTTCCCACCAACACCCAGCCTTGCAGCATTTGCACCTGCTTCTAAACCCAAGCACATGATTTGGGGACCAGCAAGACCCCCAACTCCTACTCCTCTCCTCAGGGAGCCTGAGTCAACTTTTCTCCCCAGCTCGCCTGTGCACCAGAGGGGCACTCACAATGTACTGCGTTGTTCTGCTGCATCATCATCAGTATCACAGCCAAAAACTCTCCTTTACATGCAACCAAGCCCCTAAATAAAAGGAAAACTCATTTCATATTTTGTTCTCTCTAGACACAGAAAAATTAGTTAGCAGATCTGTAAAAATGTCTCTTTGGAACCAACAGGACATAAGTTAGCCTGTTCTCAAATCTGTGTAGCTTACATGCCTTTCCTCAGAAATTCATCTTTCCATCTATTTTTGCTGGTTTTCTCAGGCCCTTTGCCATATATTTTAAAACTGTTATACCAAATCTAAACTTTCTGATAAACACTGAAAACCCAGGGCAGTATCTGTGTGTCCCATGCTGAAGCCTAAACAAAGCAGTCCTCCCCTGCCTGTGCCCCACCAGTCCCCCTCCTGGACTGACACTTCATTTATCACCAGCAGAGGAAAGCGCCCTCCTGTTACCATGGCAAAGCAGCTTTGCAAATCCAAATGCAAACAGTCTGCTGCTTGAACCTTACCAAAATTTATCTTACTATTATTTTATTGATTTATTTTAACTAAACCCTGAGAACAATTTGGATTTCTAGCATCAAGTAAAGCTTCCTGCTCAGGCTTTGCACCATCACATCTCTCTGACGTGGCCTGGAGCCAAGTATCACCCAATCCAGTGGGTTCTTTTCTCAGCACACCATCCCTGTCACTCTGAGCTGCTCTTCCCCACCTCCCTGTCCAGCAGTGTCCAAGACTGACTCAGCCAGGCAACTCACATCTCTTCTGCTCCAAGGTTAGAGGGCATTTCACTGCCAGATTCTCATCGTTCCCTGTGCCCATCTCCTAGCAAGACTATACCACTACTCTGTGAAGTGGCCCCAGGGATCATGTGACCCTGTTCTAAGCTGGCATCAGCTTCCTCTTACATCTCCCACAGCTCCCCATGTCTTTTCTTCCCGCCCTTCCATGAACTAAGTGCGAAGGCGAGAGGTGGAGAAGAAAGGTGACTCAGTGGTTCTCTTTTCTTCTAAGCCAAGATGAAAACAAAGTTGTCCACATGGAGGTCTGTCTTGGGAAGATCTTAAAATGCTGCTAGGACAGAGGTTGAATCTGTCAAGTCACAAACTCAAACCTTGGCATTGTTGGCAGCAGAGAGTAGCACGTTTACTGTAAAACACTTCAGAACAAATAATCTTAAGTAAAAAGAAAACTACCATAATCCCATCACTCAAAGGCAACGAAGAGCACAATTATCAGTGTGGTGGGTCTAGCTGTCTTTGGCGGAAACTGTCTTTGTGTTCACGGAAAATGCTGGGTGGTCATTTGCATATGAAAACATGAACCCAGAGAAGAGAAGGCTGAAAGTCATGTGTAAGAAAACTGGGATGAATCTGAGGCATTTGGGTCTAACAAGAAAAGAACAAGGAAAAAGATGAAAGTGCCGAAGGAGACAGGATAGACAGCCCCCTCGGTGTGGCAGGCTGAGGGGTTCGTGCCTCAGGGCAGGTGTTCGCAGCAGTTCCTCCTTGTCTGTGTCCCATAGTGGCAGGAGCCCCCCCAAACTCCAACTGGCAATCAAGGAAAAGCACTGAGCCACTGAGAGGTGCAGAGACAGTTCCTGAGCCTGAGGTACTCCCAGCACCCCAAGGAACGCACAAGAGCCCTGGGAGCCTACCCAGGCCTGGGGTAAACACAGATGGATGTCCTTACAGTTTACTTTACAGTGATTAGGAAGACAATCCATAGTTAAAGTACAGACTATGTACGCAATCTTATATTCTTTTTCACCCATTACAATAATTTGTCCTGTTACTAAAAACTTTATAAACATTCAGTGATTCCTGTATGGAGATCTAACATAATTTTCTTCACCATTACTCTACCAGCACGTAACTAGCGTCTTTGTATACAAACCTTTTTCAGAGATACCTAGTAGTGAAATTTAGTTGTTCAGAGCAGAGCACTTTTAAAATCCTTGATATATAACACAGCACTGTACTGTCAACAAAACACCCATTTATACATTCCAAAATATTGAGTATCTACATTTATAAAAATTACTAATTTGAGTTTTAACAGGGTATCACTAACTTAGTCTGTATTTGAGTGTAAATAATTTCAATTTTTAGGAAAGTTCATCTGTCGCTCTCATATCCATGCTGGGTGCTCTTGCCTACCTCTGCCTACTTACCCACTTTGTGTTTTCTTACCAACTTTTATCAATTCTTTCTTTCTTTTTTTTTTTTTTGAGACAGAGCCTCAAGCTGTCCCCCTGGGTAGAGTGCCGTGACATTACAGCTCACAGCAACCTCCAACTCCTGGGCTCAAGCGAGTCTCCTGCCTCCGCCTCCCAAGTAGCTGGGACCACAGGCGCCCGCCACAACGCCCGGCTATTTTTTTTTGGTTGCAGCCGTCATTGTTGTTTGGCGGGTCCGGCTGGGGATTCGAACCTGCCACCTTAGGTGTACGTGGCTGGCGCCTCAGCCGGTTGAGCCACAGGCGCCGAGCCAATTATTTCTATTTAAGGTTATTAATCTTTAAGTATTATATCTGCCAATCTTGCCCAAATATTTTCATTTGTTTCATTTATCATTAATTAACTGCTACAGTAATTACACAGCAATGGCCTATCAACCTTAACAAAAAGTACAATCACAACATGTTAGAAAAATGATTTAAGAACCACACTAAAAGGTCTAATCATTTAACTATTCAACCAACATTTACATGCATAATAAACAAAAGCATTACTTACTGAATCCAAAAAGCAAAGGTAAGACCCCGAGCTCTGTGCTATCGCTTGATTTTTAGAGTATCCAACTGTCAAAAGAAGAACAGAAAAACTCTTATAATTCAATTTTCAACAGCATTCTCTTTCATAAAGCTTTCATTCTCTTTCATAAAGCATTCTCTTTCAGACACTATATATATAAAAAAGCTAGAAATATCTACACTACCAACAAAACTCCAGGTTGGCTTTCAAAGGAAACTTGGGAGGCTAAGGCAAGAGAATCACTTAAGCCCAAGAGTTTGAGGTTGCTGTGAGCTGTGATGCCACAGCACTCTACCCAGGGCGACAGCCTGAGACTCTGTCTCAAAAAAAAAGGAAGGAAAGGAAAGCACACTGAGTGACTGAGCAGTGAGCACATTGGTGAGGGGCTGTCCAACTGCCACTGCCCAGCAGCAGGACACACTCACTGGAGAATACACATTCAGAAAACACTTCCTGAGTATAACACTAAGCTAAAACACAAAACAGAAATTAAAAGGAAGTCTATAAAGTTTCTGCTGGTGAAAGTCAGGACCCAATGGCAAGGAGAAAGTAGGCAGCTTGCATTCGTGTAATTAGTTGGCAGAATTCACTGAGCTGGACACTTGATGGCCGGTTACCTGAACACCGTTTCCGTGATGAGCGGAAGCTACTGTGAGCACCTACTACAGGGGAGTAGATGCACGGCATGAGCCCCGCCCTGGTTGCACAACGCTGCACAGCCCCCCTGTGGCAAAAGCCCACACTGGGAGCTGCTCAAGTGCAGAGCACAACTGGAAACCCTGCAGTGAGATGCTCATCCTAGGGCTGCACAGTGATTCTCACAGCTGCTGGGCAAAGAAGCCAGACCCCGGAGAGTAGACAGGAGTGGGGACTCTGGCGTGGGGCACAGGACCCACCACAACTCTATGCTGTGAGAAACCAGGCAGGCATCTGCCTGGGAGGCCCCGTGGGCTTCCAGGGCCTGCTGATGGAAATTAAGTGATTAGAAATTAAGTCCACCAGGGTGCTGTTTAGTGTATTCCACTATGAGCCCTAATCCAGATTATAGTAAGTATTCTTCTCTGAGTGCATATTTATACTATAGTAAAATTTCAAAACATCCTTCCCTACAAAGGCACAACTGAGCTGGCAGAAAGTTAAACCATAACCCATGTTAAATGCCAAATGAATGGTGCCCCAGAAAGTATATGGGATATTAAAGAAAGATGAGATCACTGTTAACGAGACTTGCAGAGGGAACGTGAGGCTGCTAAAATTTGAACCGAGAATGGAGCTGTTCTGTAGTGTTGCAAGGAGGATGACGAACAGTCTGGGGTGCCCAGCTGCTGGGCACAGTTGTACATCAGGGGAGGTAGGCACTGCATGCTATGCAGGGCATCTGAGTGAGGCTTCTGAGGAGAAGCAGCAGCATGCAGGCATCTACACTCAGCATGCTCAGCCTAGATGCTGGTGCCCGGGGGCTCAGCCCAAAGCAAAGATGCAGATACCACTTTCCCTAGAAAAAAGGGTTGCTAACACCTGAATCACATTAGTCAGATGGTTACAGATTTGGCACCACTAAGAAAAGCCACACAAAGCAAAACACGTGTGCAGAGCTGAAACAATAAAGCTCTCTGGAATTCAAAGGCAAGACAAGCTGAAGAAGGTTGAAGGCCAAAGGGACACTAGCCAACTTTCCATTTCAGCCATGTCTATACCACACCCTGACTTTCTGCTATCAGGTGGGAAAAGAAAGGTTCCTGGGTGGTGCCCAAGCAAGCCCAGACCACAGGACACTGCCACAGAGAAGTGAGAGGTGGAGAGTCTTCTACCCTCATTTGTACTCTGGAAAGATCTGACCCCCTAGACAGTGCCCTTGTGTGTTGAAGAGGGGTTCACACAAGGCAGCAGTTTAATTTCTGTTCCCAGATTTCAAAGAACCACAGGTATTAACAGGAGCAAAGGAGGAAGGAAATGCACCCAGGGAGGCAAAGCACCTGGCTTCTCACCCAAGGACGGGTGGATTATTAGCCAACACCAAAACAGCTGTAGCTCAACCGCCATCCTTACTGCAAAGCAAGGCAAGCAGAGAGAAAGGCCTCCTGACAACCATAGTCAGAGAGCTGTTTGTGAAAAATGGAGAATGGGAAGAGATTTTCCATGGCCACATTGAGATTAGTAGGAGTTCTGTTCAGAAACCTGCTTAGAATTAAGTCCATGAACCTGGGTAATGAAGGAAGATCTCACTAAGGAGGCTGGAAGTTTCTCACAATGAATCTTGTGTTTGGCAAAGACAAGGAATTTGCTTTAATATTATTGCCTCAAAGAAAGTCAAATGTTTGTGTTGGGCTCGTGTTTGAGGAGGCTGGTCCTTTTGTGAGAAGAAACTGTTGCCATGGGCACAGCAGGAAAAACTCACACCTCAGGGAGATATTAACATTTCTTCCTCTTGGAGAGAAAAGGGTGGGATTGTGCTTTATTTTGATTTTAGCAAGTGGTCAAATTAAGAAATTTTGTGCTCTATTATGATATGAAATCATAATAAATGCATTTTAATCCATTTTAATTGCTCAGCACTTTTGAAAATAGATATTTTGGCTCTATGTTATCTAATAATCAATATAACTTTTCATATTTAAGAAAATATCATGTCAGGAAAATGCATCCTTTCAGATACAACTAAACTGATTGTTTTATTAATGTATAATACAGGATGCAGACAGACTGTGGGATGATGTCATTTCACAGTCCCTTAACTTGGTCCTGCACAATTTTACAACGTGACTGTTTTGTTATTTATTTATTTATTTATTTTTGGAGACAGTGTCTCAACTGTTGCCCTGGGTAGAGTGCCGTGGCATCACAGCCCACAGCAACCTCAAACTCTTGGGCTTAAGCAAGTCTCTTGCCTCAGCCTCTCAAGCAGCTGGGACTACAGGTGCCTGCCACAATGCCCAGCTATTTTTTTGTTGCAGTTGTCATTGTTGTTATAGCAGGCCCAGGCCGGGTCCTAAACTGCTGGCCTTGGTGTATGTGGCCGGCACCCTACCCACTGAGCTACAGGCGCCACCCAACTGACTGACTGGCTATTGACAGAATACACACAAATGTGATGGGGCTCAAGTTATAACTAATCTATAAAAAGTGTTTTATGAAAGACAAAACTTGTTTTTAAAAGATGAGTCAAGGAATGTCACAGCATTCACCAACTTGTTTTCAATCAAGTATGGAAAATACAAAATGTCCTTTCAATTAATAAAATATTAAAAGATGTTTCTATTTTCAAAAACCAATTGGCTTACACACATTTCAGAAGCAAGTTGAAATAAATGTTTCACAATAACCAATTTTTTATAAAGGGTTTTCTATTTCAAACTAAAGATAATGAAAACAATAATTTGAGGGAAAATATTAACATCTAACACACGAGCTGATGAAGATGACGGTGAAGAACAGCAACAACAGAATACCTGCCAACACACCTGTCCTAAAAGCTCTGCACAAGTCAGTTCATTTCACACCTCACAACACCCAAGGCAGGTGTTGTGTCACACTGTCACAGCCACTTCACAAGGAAAGAAACTGAGTCACAGCGAGGCAACAGTGGTTCCAACCCTGGCAGCCTGGCTGGAGCCCCACTCTTGAGCGCCTGCTCCACACCTGAGATCCTACCGGGCACCTTGTCCTCTGACCTCACAGTGCTGCTGGAGAAAAGCAGGAACACCCCGTCCACATCCACTGAGACACATTTCATATACAGTTACCCTGGCAACACCAAAGCAAAAGGCGTCTCAATATGAACTTCTAAAAATACCAGGTCATTAAGTCTGAATGTCTGATTTTGAATCAAAAGTTTAGTTTATTGTATCTTAAACAAGAAGCAGTACAGTTAATCAAAGACTGTGCTGAAATTATCAATACAGTTTTGCCATCTTAATGGTAGCTTGGGTACGACAGCAGTGAACCCTGGAGAGTGGCAATGAAATTGCAAAAGATGTTTTCCACAGCTTATTGAGAATTGTGTATTTTTCCTTGCAAGAAGTGCTCCAAAGTCTTGAATAGGTGGTAGTCATGTGATATAAAGTCTGGAGAATACTGTGGGTGACAGAGAGTGTCCAAGTCCAGCTTCTGTAGTCTGTGCGGCAATGCTTTGTGAGTGGAGGGCTGACTTTCAAGAGGACTGGCCTACCTCTACTGACCAATCTCGGCTGCAGCCATCCCTAGATTTCATCCAGTTGGTTGCAGTAATTGACTAACCAGGTCTCATGAAGCTGTGGTGGATGATTCCAGTGCTGGACCACCAAATAGCCACCATTAGCTTTGTTTGATTAATATTTGGACTGTTTAGCACTTCATCTTTTTTTTTTATTGTTTCAGGTTAATTGAGGGTACAAATAAGTAGATTATACTGTTTGCATTTGTTAGGTAATTTGTTAGGTAATTTCTTATAATTGTGTCCCACCCGCAAGACATGTGTCATACACCCTAACATTGTGACCCTTAAGTGGGACCACCCCATCCCTATCCCTCCTCCCCTCTCTCTACTCTCTTGTTCCCTTGCTCCCCACCTTCAATTGATTTGAGTTATTCTCTTATGTGGGTATGTATTAGACTGGCTTCATATTAGAATTGAGTACATTGGATTCTTGCTTGTCCATTCTTGTGATACTTTGCTAAGAAGAATGTGTTCCAACTCTATCCAGGTTAATACAAAAGATGTAAAGTCTCTGTCTTTTTTAAGCATCACTTCATCTTTACTCAAACATTGTGCCAAATATCTGCGATTGCTGCAAAGAAAATTGTCCCGTTTTTCTTCATACGTAACAATATGGTATACACATATACCATACCTTGATATTGTGGAAGCAAAGAAAGGCAAGTTTTGAGACGATTTCTCTTCTGATGCTAGTTAAATTCACATGGAACCCATCTGTCCAGCTTCTTTTTTTTTTTTTTTTTTTTTTTT